GAGATGGTTTGTCACCGGCGCTGAGAGCGGCGCTGCGACAGGCCAAGCTTCGATCACGCTGCTCGCAGTCCGTTTCGCAATTCGATTCTCAGTCGCAGCTACAGCTTCCACAACAGCAGGAACGGACCCGCGGGTCGTTTCTGCTACAGCCCAACACGCTCGTGTCTTCCTCTGTAGCGTCGTCCGCCGCAACCTCGGCTGTAGTCGTCACCATTGGCACCAATGTGCCGTCATCTGGAGTGAATTACGGGCTACAGTCGCAACAGCCGCCGCCGCCGCCGCCGCCGCCGTCGCGGGCCAGCCTGGCGGCGGCGCTGGCGCACACAGGCGACGGCTCGCTCAGCGCCACATCCTGGCTACAGCCACCACCGCCGTGAAGCCGCCGCCACCGTCACGAAACAGCGTTCCGCAGCAGCAGCGGCCGGAGCAGCAGCAGATGTTGACTCAACAGCTATCCGAGTCGTACGGATCTGAATCTGCCGTATCCACGTTGCAAAACATGTACGGCGGATCTACAGGGCTGAGGCCGCAGCTGCAAGCCGGGACGTGGGGTCAGGAAAGGTCGATGTCGACGCCGACGCCGACGCCGACGCCGACGCCGACGCCGACGCCGACGCCGACGCCGACGCCGACGCCGACGCCGACGCCGACGCCGACGCAGCAGCAGCAGCAGAGGCAGGCGGAGGTGGCGGCGGCGTTCGCGGCGTACCTGTCGGGAGGTACTGGCGGCGGTGGCGGCGGCGGAGAGCGGCTACCGGGTGCTGCTACAGCTGGCAGCCGCCTGGCCCCCGCGCGCGCGACGGTGATTCCTGTGCAACCACAGTAGCGAAGTGGCTCGCCGCAGCCGCCGCCGTCGCCGTCGCCGCAGCTGCCGCCGCCGTCGCCGCCGCCGCCGCCGCAGCAGCAGCCACCGCCATCACAGGTCGAACCTGCTGCCCCAGGAAGGGGAGGAGGGCGGCCTGGCGTATCCGGCAGTCGTACGACACCGCTGCTGTTGCCGTCGCTGGAGAAGTCGCCAAGTCGCCGAAAAGGCTCACAGCTGGCGGCGACGGCACGTCCTCACTGTACGGCGGCACCCGTGTAGCCACGGCGGCGGCGCCTTCCGCCGCTGATCGCGCTACTGGGGCGCTACAGGGTGGTGGCGGCAGCCGTCTCAATGGCTGCGTGATGGAAAGGATGGTATCGGAGCGGGATGCCGTGATGTCCGGGAAGCCGAGCCAGAGAGGGTGTCTCCTGGACTTCGACCCCGCCTCCGCCAGGATCTGGGCACGGAGGCCGCAGCGGCAGCGGAGGCGCGAGGCGGCGGAGGCGAAGGCTCGGAGAAGGGCATTACCCTTGGCGGCGGCGACGGAGGCGACGGAGATGATGAAGGCGACTGAGGCAGTGGCGGCGCCGAAGAGGAAGTGGAGCCGAGTGCTGAAGCTCCCGCCGGCGGCGGGGGCCGCCGCCGCCGCCGCCGCCGCCGCCATTGCCTCAGCCGCCGCCACGGCTCCCACAACACCCGCCAGTGCGTTCCGCAGCGGCAACCAGTCGGGCAGGTCGTTGGGCGACGCTGGCAAAGGTAACAAGTTCCGGGAGAAGTACGGCACCATGGCGGCAGCCATGGGGCTTCGTACGGCACCTGATCGCAGCAGCCGCCCCGCGCAGACGGCACCAGCGACCCTTAGGGCGCAGATGCGCGCGGCGGCAGTGCTGGCGGCAGCGGCTGCGGCAACTCCGGCGCTCGCGTGCTGTCAACCGTCATCGCGGGAAGCGCGGGTCGCATCAGCGGCAACGGCATTGCGTCGCCGTACGTCCTACGTGGATCAATGTCAGCCCGGTTGCCGTCACCCATGCGGCCCAGAGGGGATTTCGGTAGTTACGGCAGCGGCGGCGGCGGCGGCGGCTTGGCCAGCGGCGGCAGCTTCAGCGAGGGGGCTTTCGCCAGCGGCATGATCGTCCTTGGCGGCAGTGGCGACTCGGCGGAGGGGTCCAAGCTGCCGCCAGTGTCGGAAATCCCTATGCCGTACTCGATGTTGGGAACGTACGGCTCCGGCGTTGGCAGTATGCGAGGCCGGCTGGTATGCCCTGTCGTGGAGGAAGACGGAGAGGGAGAGGGAGAGGAGGCAGGCGACGCGCCGCCACCACCGCCGCCGCCGCTGGCGTCTCAGCAGCAGCGGCATCAGACGACACCGCAACAGACGCGATCCGGCAGCGGCGGCGGCGGCGGCGGCGGCAGCGGAGCCGCCGCCAATGTCACGGTTCCCCAATTTGGGTCGCGTGTGTCGTCCGTTGTCTCGACTCTCTCCTGGAGTTCCACGCCAGGTGACCCAGGGGTCAGTGAGCCAGGAAATGCCGAAGCGGCTGTGGCGGCGGCGGCGGCGGCGGCAGTAGCGCACATGGCC